GCTATGGATTTTCTTTCCCAGCTCATTTCTATATTCGGTTTGGTTTTAGCTTTTAAACTCCACCTGGAAGAACAAAAGGCAATGTTAGTTTACTGGTTTGGTCTTTATAACTCAATTCAAAGGTAATTGCTTGCGATTGGAGCAAAGGTTAGCGGCTGACATACGATTTAGCGTATATTACCTTTCTCATATCATCAATAAATCCCAAGAAAATGCGTAGACGTGCTTTCTCTTCAAGGCGAGTTATCTTGAGTCAAATGCGAGTCGTCTTGGGCAGTTTCAGTTACGGTAACGGACTTTTTGCCCACTTCACTTGATTCAGTTTGGTTTGAAGCTCTCAAACTCCACCTGGAAGAATAAAAGGCACCATTAGTTCACTGCTTAGGTCTTTAGAACTCGTAACGTAATTTGCGTGTGGTTAGAGGGAAGGTTAGCGGCTCAACGGTAAGATTTGACGTATATATTACCTTTCTCATATCATCAATATTCCCCAGAAAAAGTCTAGACTTGCTTTCTCTTCAAAGGCGAGTTATCTTGAGCCAGTTCAGCCACAATTCATCGGTCGTCAAATTCTTATTCACAAATTTCATCGTTTAACTTCGCTTTAATACGTCAAAATTCTACTTGAAAAGAATAAAAGCTACGTTAGTGCTATACAAGTTTGTCTTGAAGCTGAACACAACACGAGAGAGGCATTACAAGACGTGAACTAAAGACACGTGGAACCTCAGCCCAAAAGCTCACGTTAAAACAAGCTGATAAAACACGCAAAGGGAAAGGAATATTACCTGGTATAATACCAACGACAGTATGTCAGAGATAGTAAACTTCTATTAAACTTCTCCTCTGCTGAAGACGATAGCAATCTGATAGAAATTTCTGTTGAAATTTTCTTGGCATTGTGTAGACTCATCTTTATTCTTCGAAGACCAGCGCTGAAGTGATGTCTCAAACTGGAATCAAAAGCACATATTCATTTCACCCGCTCCTCGTGTCTGCAAAATAAAGTCATCCTATTGGATGAACACTCCCGGCCTGACAGCTCAACAACGCTTCTGATTGGACGTTCATAGTAATTTAAGTAATATGATTAATTCTCTTCTCCTGAGCCTGAACATCAGAAATGAAAGGAAAGAATTAATCATATTATTCAAATTACTATGCTCGTCCAATCAGCTCGTCCAATGTTGAGCTGTCAGGCCGGGAGTATTCAGCCAATAGGATGACTTTATTTTGCAACACGAGGAGCGGGTGAAATAAATATGGGCATATGGTAAAACATGGACTGGACTGGACTAGTAAAAGGTGGACTGGACTCATTAGTAAAAGGTGGACTGGACCGATAAAGCCCCGATTAGTAAAAGGTGGACTGGACTCGTTAGTAAAAGGTGGACTGGACTCGTTAGTAAAAGGTGGACTGGACTCGTTAGTAAAAGGTGGACTGGACTCGTTAGTAAAAGGTGGACTCTAACCGGAAGCGCCACAATTCCGGAAATGAATACGTAAACAATATTCAGGGGGGAGGTAAACACTAAAAAGTATCAAAACACTATCAGGCATTCAATATTTTATGATTTCGTACCATTGTACACAAAACAAAGACTTTATTTTGGTTATTTTGCCGTCAATCCATATAATGATTAATATTCTTAACTTAACGGTAAGCAACTCTTCTAACATCAAATCCTTTAATAAATAGTCGTTATATCCACCGTCGGCTCTACGATTTCATACGAAGAGACGGAAGACTAGATATATAATGAGGGTTCACTCTTCGAAATTCCAATAATTTAGCATCAATGATTAGATATATATATATCTACTCTTTGGTTATATCCTTCCCCGGCATAACAACAATGAGAACTAAGAAATTGCAAAGTGCAAGTATTTTTCATAGGCTGTGCTGCTACAAACTATTAAATAAATATATGGGTTTGACTTTTGGCATACTGTTCCAGTACGATTAGCCACTTCGTGATTTTTTTTACTTTTACAATTTGATTTCTTATTTTTCGTAGATTTTCTGTAGGTTTGCATTAATGCATAGTATAAAATATATTTTAGTTTATGTGAACACACAACATGAATATTTATTGCCAAATATTAATACAAATTATTAATATAAAACAATAATTTACCTCCATACGGCTACACAAGATGTGTCTATTTATTTATTTATTAATATCACTGATTTAATACTCAGTGAGTCTTTTGCCAGAACTAGTGAAGATGTCTATTATAAACACAATAAATTACAGTTGGATTACAGATTTTGCTCTCTAATATCAGAGGGCGGTGGGTGAAAAAGACAAAAAAGGTATTAATTTCCCAATCCCTTTCCAACTCTGACAGTGACATGAACATTCAATATGTTGATGATCATATAAAGTAGATAAACAATAATATGCCCTGTATTTATTAAAACAAACTCCACAGACCACAGATATTAATAGTACAATGTAAAGTATGTCAATGAATTTTGGGCATATTACTTTCAATATGATACTAAGTACTTTCTAAAATATGGTTGTGAGATGACAAAAATAAAACATGAAAATGGTAGCATTTTATTTAATTTCTTCTTTTTAAAAAACAAGGTAAGGAAAATCTGTAATCCAACTTATTTATTGTGTTTATAATAGACATCTGCACTAGTTCTGGCAAAAGACTCACTGAGTATTAAATCAGTGATATTAATAAATAAATAAATAGACACATCTTGTGTAGCCGTATGGAGGTAAATTATTGTTTTATATTAATAATTTGTATTAATATTTGGCAATAAATATTCATGTTGTGTGTTCACATAAACTAAAATATATTTTATACTATGCATTAATGCAAACCTACAGAAAATCTACGAAAAATAAGAAATCAAATTGTAAAAGTAAAAAAAATCACGAAGTGGCTAATCGTACTGGAACAGTATGCCAAAAGTCAAACCCATATATTTATTTAATAGTTTGTAGCAGCACAGCCTATGAAAAATACTTGCACTTTGCAATTTCTTAGTTCTCATTGTTGTTATGCCGGGGAAGGATATAACCAAAGAGTAGATATATATATATCTAATCATTGATGCTAAATTATTGGAATTTCGAAGAGTGAACCCTCATTATATATCTAGTCTTCCGTCTCTTCGTATGAAATCGTAGAGCCGACGGTGGATATAACGACTATTTATTAAAGGATTTGATGTTAGAAGAGTTGCTTACCGTTAAGTTAAGAATATTAATCATTATATGGATTGACGGCAAAATAACCAAAATAAAGTCTTTGTTTTGTGTACAATGGTACGAAATCATAAAATATTGAATGCCTGATAGTGTTTTGATACTTTTTAGTGTTTACCTCCCCCCTGAATATTGTTTACGTATTCATTTCCGGAATTGTGGCGCTTCCGGTTAGAGTCCACCTTTTACTAACGAGTCCAGTCCACCTTTTACTAACGAGTCCAGTCCACCTTTTACTAACGAGTCCAGTCCACCTTTTACTAACGAGTCCAGTCCACCTTTTACTAATCGGGGCTTTATCGGTCCAGTCCACCTTTTACTAATGAGTCCAGTCCACCTTTTACTAGTCCAGTCCAGTCCATGTTTTACCATATGCCATAAATATGTAGCTTTGATTCAACGTTGCCACATCACAACATGGATAACACGGAGTCGAAGTTCCGGAGCCGGAGTTTTGGAGCCGGAGTCCCGGAGTCAAAATTACGGAGTCTGACGTAATAATATTGGAAAACACGTAGTCTGCCAAAAACATGGAACCACGGAGTATAAATGTTTGGAAAACACGGAGTCAACGTAAATTATACATATATTCATAAATGAAGGATCGCTCATAAGTCTATACTAATTTTTTATACCACAGTAATAGTATAAAAGAAAGAATACACAATAACAAAAGATTATAGCTATAATGCCTCTTGCTCAAAGTCATAGATTTATTGTTGTAGCTGACTACATTACGTGTCCTTATATCACCTTAAATCACACCAAAACTACCACATGCAATTTCCTCTTTGTCTAAAATATCTACAATTGTTTTTAGAGGGCGACGCTCTTTAAGGCTCTAGCATTACTTGTTTGATCGGAATGAAACTTGGCACAATTATTCTAAGCAATATTCCGCATCGATTGACGGAGTTCGAATTTTTACTTTTGACCTTTGAAGCAAGTTACAGGCAATTCTTGATATATTTGCACCAAATAATATATACATATCATTAATATTCAGCCTATATATAAGTAAACGCAAACGATTAGAAATACATTGTCCTCTCCATTATTATAAATAGCTACAATGCAGTTCAGAAACTCGGTTACGCAGTTACCCACTATAGTACGATCATACTTGTTTTAACAGACTCCGTGTTTTCCATAATTTGTGACTTCGTGTTTTCCATATTTTTAACAGACTCTGTGTTTTCCATAATTTGTGACTCTGTGTTCTCCAATATTATTACGTCAGCCTCCGCAATTTTGACTCCGGGACTCCAACTCCGAAACTCCGGCTCCGGAACTCCGACTCCCTGTTATCCATGTTACCCATTCCTATGGTCTGCCATGATGGTGAGGCAGGAAGTTTTGTCTGCCATGATGGTTAGGCAGGAAGTTTTTCATTTCCTGCCAAATCCAGTTTTTGGTTTGTCTTTCCTCAACTCAGTGACCACAACCAGACGGATCATGCACGAACAAAAGATTGGTATGGCGGTAAGGAAGGTAAGGAAGGTATGGCAGGCCAAGCCTTTCCTTACGGGCCTACCGGCTACCACAATTTTATTTATATATTATTTGTTAATAAACAAAGAAATTCAAAATACGCACAGTACATATAAAACAGGGTGTATAAAAAAGACCTTCAACAGCTTTTGCATGATTACAAGACCAGGTACATACCCCCATTGCGACCAATTGTCCCTCGTATGTACATTAACTGTTTTGAGCCGTTGGAGGTTAGTCTGTCGTCAGATTATAAAGTGCAGAACGACTTAACGTCAGTTCATAAGTGTAGAAAACCTGGAAGATTGAAGATCGATTTTGTTTGTGCGCTAAGTCTGGCAAAGCTGGTGTAATGATGACGAAGGTATGCTAATCTTTCGAGATGCGTAATCTACCACAATGTGGCTGTGAGCATGTGTCATCATTGATAACACCTTCTTCCTGTCTCAACATCCTGCATCGGACAAAGTATTGTTTTTCCAGCTGTTTATAAAGCCTGGGATATTACGCTCTCTTATCATTCAGTTATCACATCCAGCAGTGTTTCGTGAGAGCCAGAAGACTGCCTGACTAACGCTACAAAGATCGATCGACGACCATGATTTCATTAGCTATTTTATCGATTTTACTTTCCATCAATTACTGTGCAGGTAATCACCTTTTTGTGTAGATTTATTATTAATTCGTTTCCGCAAAATAACGCAATAAAATTTATCCTATTCTATATATATATAAAGGAAATGTTGATTAGTCCAAAGGGATTTATCGTTTAAATAGAAAAATTGACAAGTACACGCAAATAGACGTTAAATAGTGAAATAGATATTTGAAACTGCATGCATGACGCGATGGAATCCGAATCTTTAGCAGATTTCGAAGGATATATATCTGCATCAGTGCAGAAGATAATTTCAATCGAAATATGAATCCATTCTTATGGATATATTGTTTTATATTCGCTGAAGTTTTCAACTGGAAACAGTTTCCTTATCTTATACAGAGTGGCTTTGTATTTATTTTACGAAAACCAGGGCTCAAACAGTTCCATCTATGGTTCCATGTTAGCTTGTGACGCCACAGTTTATAAGCTATGTGTAGTTGTTGATTACATAGTGATTTAATGCAGGTACATGCCTATGTAGGTACTGCAGGTACTGTGGAAATACTTGCTTGCGCACTAACAAACTACATTCTCAGAAGAGGATAAATAGAAATAATCGCGCGGGTGAAAACAAATTCTACTGATTGGGATGAACTTGAAATTTCGTTAATGTACAATGTACTATGGTGTTCCGGTATAGTGACTCTGATGGGAACAACCTTGGTTGCCCTGTTGAGTGATGACTAACGATAACAATTGTAGGAAATTGTGTCAATCGTCTGTACGTAATTTGCACATAATGCGCGCTGATTAGTAACGACATTAATCTGACTATGCCCTGAGGTTGAAAGATGAATGAGTTTACCACATTGTGCGGCCTATTCTTAGAAATTTTATGTACATTTGAGCGTAAAATTAAAGCATTTAAATTTTGCAAGATTTGATGATTTGATAGGCAACAAATTTTATTTCCACCCGTGACAGGTGTTTTTCTGAAACATCTAGGCGAGATTTATGTAATGAAAAAGAATATGTGATACTTGATCTGAATCATATTTGAGTTCTCGGACTTGATAAGCCGTAGAGGAAAAATATTTTCCAGGGGCTTCCTTCGCCCTCAGTCTTTGCTTTCAATCCTTATTTTACCTGTGGTACCAATGTTGGATCAATAAGAGATGATCTTTACTGGGCTCCAAGGGAGAACACTGATTGTCAATGAAGCTCATTCGCTTCGATTCGACTGTCCCTGTGTAATTTTGAGGTGTAATTCCATGTGGAAGGGTCAAACCTCAGTGCAAAATCTGATACTGATCATCAATACAATTTGCAACAGATATGTTACAGGGCTTTCTTGAAAGTCAATGTAATTTGAGTTAGTTTATTAAAATTTTTGGCGGTTTGTCTTGTAAGAAAATAGCAACCCGTCGTTATGCACTGTATTGTTGCACGTAAGCTATAACCTCGACGTCTTTCATGTCTTCGTAAAGGTCGCGGATGCCTTAGGAAATACTATTGTGACACGAGGAGACTTTCAGTGAGGATACCATGCGCAGTAGATCATATTAATTAACGAAATTCTTTTCCATGCACATTTCAGCTCAAAACGCAAATGCCAACAGTGCCCAAAGCATTGGAGATGATCAAGCAAACTGGCAGGCATTGTGGACCGCGATGTCAACCATGAGGGATGGCAGATCTCAATCATCTCATGTCGCTGACAGTACTCGACTATCCTTGTTTGATATAATACTGAGGGCCAATGTTCAGGCAAGGCGTAAGTGTTATTTGCGAACTTACGGACAATGAACGTATATTCCTCTTCCATGGAAACACCGCTCTGTACTTTTCACGGTTAAGTTATTGGCTAATAGAGCAAAATTAACTCACTGCACATCTTTAGGGACAAAACGTTCTTGTGTATCATTATTATTAAAGATGACTTAAGCCATTTTCAATTTAACTCTAGGCCAAACACATGTACGAAGCGGCGAAGCGGAGTTTCTCTATCAAGGTGATATTGCGATGAATAAGCGTGATGTCGTGGACATAGTTAATGGTGGTGGAGCGGGAAGACGCAAACGAGCTGTGATGAAAAAGCTTGCTACAAGATTGTGGCAGCCTAAAAAGATAGCTTACGTAATAAGCAGTGACTTAGGAAGTAAGTGTAACAGTGTCTGATGATTTGTTAACACATTTGAGGAGTGACAGTAGCCGATAATCGATAATGATCAAGATCCTTGTGACTGATACCTTCCAAGGGACCAAGGCATCAATTTTTGTCACCATTATACAATGACAGTTAAAGTATAATAGCCTAATTGCGCAAGCTTATTGTTTCCAGAGTTTGCAAAACTAGCGATTCTCGCAGCAATTAAGCACTGGGAAGATACGTTACCATGCATGGGAAAGTGGAGGGACATAAACAATCTGGATAGTTCAAAAAGACCACGGGACTACATTCGTTTCATCAAAGGAGAGGGGTAGGCGTTGTTGCATTATGTCATATTCATCCAGAATCATATTCATCCAAATTATATACTATAGTCCCATGCTTGTCGTGGGAAAGAAGACTGAATGAAAAAGGGTCCTAAAACGTTTCTGTGCGACATCTGGAAAACGGCTATTCAGCCGACAAAGATATAGTCAAAACTATATATACCTCTTGTGTAGATAAACTAAAACTCCACATGCCTGTCCTACAAAGAAAAACTTTAATATCCATTTCATCTCAGGATTTGCCCTGATCATCTACCAGGATCTTTCCTCCAAAAAGAGTGAAAGCCTGGAATCGAGTTTAAGTTGGTGAAAACTGACGGTGACATGTATGTCACGATTGAAGCTTATATAATATTTGTATTTTTTGTATTTGTATTTGTATTTAATAAAATTACTTTGCAGCCTAAAGGCTGAATTACGTAATTTTTACAGTTAAAACTATTGTATCATATTCATAATATAAGAATTATAACCAACGTTTTCTCTGCAGTTGTTATTCAAGAGTGGGTCGTCAAAGAGGTCGCCAGTTGATATCAATTGGAACTGGATGCGGTTACGTTGGTGTTGTGACACACGAAATCGGTGAGTTATAATCCGACCAAGTTTGCGTGGAAAAATATTAAACTGATTCTCTTCAGGGTATGTTGTATAATGTGTTGCACACTGCTAGAAACCAGGGCCCAATTAATTTCAAAACAATTTTTTTCTTGTCGAAACACTTGTGTATATAATCGTAGGTCACGCAATGGGTTTCTGGCACGAACAGTCTCGCACTGACAGAGACGAATACATAGACATTCACTGGAATAATATTCTACCAGGTATGAATCAAATTCCGTTTAAATTTCCTAGATCCCGTAGGACTGATAGAAAATATTCATCTGTCTAGTCCCGTAGCCGACAAGCTCAAAATCACGATTATTGGTGTACTTGTATCAACAACTCTAATACAGCAATTTTTTTATAATAGCTATGAGATTTAACTTTGAAAAATACACATCGTCAAGAATTGATGATCTTGGTGTCGAATATGATTATGAAAGCGTGATGCATTATGGGCCAAAAGCTTTCTCTAAAGACGGAAGATCATCCACAATTTCAATCAAGCGCAATAAGAATAAGAATGGCGTAAGACTGGGGCAGAGATATAGATTGAGCGAACTGGATAAAAAACAAGCTCGACTTCTATACAATTGTAACGGTGAGTTCACGGTGAAGGTTGAGCCAGAAATAACCAGAAATTGTTCGGTACAGTTCGATACAATGAATCCAACCGGGAAAAAAGTACAAGTGATAAAAAATAATGTAATTTACTTCTTTGAATAATCCAATTCCATTGTTAAAATGTTGATCACTTTCTGAATGATCAAGTATCCTTGCATGATGTTCCTAGAAAGTGGTGTCAGTAATTTGTGATTGCGCATAGAAATAGAAAAAAGTCATACATTGCAGTGATGTAAGTGGGGAATGTGCAAATAGATCCCTTATAGGTATGGTACCTATAATCCCCCTTAGTAGATGTTGAACACTAATTATGATGTCTGAATGATATAATTATATAATACCTTCTCCGATTTCGTTTCTTATTTTTTTCTAGTCAAGTCTCCATGTAGTTCTAATCCGTGTTTGAATGCTGGGGTATGTAGCAACAATGGGGAAAGATACACTTGCAGATGTACGTCTGGATACACTGGAGCAAGGTGTGAAAATAGGGAAGGTAAACCTCTTAGCACTCTTTTACGCATGTATATGGTCTAAATAAGATGAAATAGCTTCCATTGCTTTCCCACGAGGTCTTTGGCGAATGATATAATTATATAATACCTTCTCCGATTTCGTTTCTTATTTTTTTCTAGTCAAGTCTCCATGTAGTTCTAATCCGTGTGCTGGGGTATGTAGCAACAATGGGGAAAGATACACTTGCAGATGTACGTCTGGATACACTGGAACAAGGTGTGAAAATAGGGAAGGTAAACCTCTTAGCACTCTTTTACGCATGTATATGGTCTAAATAAGATGAAATAACTTCCATTGCCTTCCCACGAGGTCTTTGGCGAACTGGTGATTACTCTACTGGTTGTTAGAACTGGATTTTATTAGGCTAGAGCCGCTCCAAATAACTGATGTTTACCGTTGCATGTATATTTTCAAACAGCTCAGGTTTGTGTCAATGATAAAGATACCCGCTGTAGTAAATGGGGTCAGGATGGTTTCTGTAATCCTGAAAAGGGTTATGGAGACTTCATGAAGCGAAGGTGTTGCGCAACCTGTCGTCGATATACTTCGGGTGAGTATAAGACTTTGAGTACAGAGACTTTTCTGGGTACGACATTTTCTCTACGACATCTGCTGTTATAATAAGATTAATAACCAATATACATGCACATTTAGTTTAGTTTTGGGTCTCTGACAATTATTTACATTCAGCCGTTTAATACCGACTTCGCGGTAGACCCTGGGTACCAGGTTGCATTGCCATTGGAGTTCTCTATAGGTCGCATCAAATGCAACCATAATTTAATACAATATTCATTTAAAAATATGGAATATTGTTGTTATAAAGCGTGAGCGAAGGGACGAACATCAAATATTTTCATGTGCAAATACGACTTTCTCGAGTTATGGTTCTATAAAAAGTATAGCGTAAATTTGTTTGTGAATTATGTATTTTTTATTTTTCATACGGATGCCAATAGCCTTAAAATATTTCAATTCATATCGTCTCTTTTCAGTTAAGCCTTGCAGTTCATCACCATGTTTGAACAGAGGTACCTGCACGAACATTGGGAATAGATATAGTTGTACATGTACAGTTGGGTACACTGGGACGCGATGTGAAAGAAGAGGTATAATATTCAAACTTCAAAACATATGTATATGTATAGATTTATCCTGAAAACTGATAACAGCAGTGTATACTAAAAAAAACAGGACGCATCATGCATCGGACGTTTTTGCTCACTCTTCTGAGTGCGGTCTTCCACAAATGATTGGTCTCAAAGTCCTATAAGTCATAATTTCTCGATACCTTACGCAAGACATTATACCTGCAGTACGTTTGAAGAGAGTACGTCAATTGGGAAGAACATAGAATGATTTTGGAAGAGTTTAGACATATAAAAAGATATAGATGATAGTATGAGTAGGAGAAATTCCAATGCGTCTATGCCCTTCGTAGTCCGCTGGGAGCATGCAGAATACCTCCTGGAGTACCTCGTGCATGATGTTACACTGTGTTCCAATTAAGATAATAAGATTCACCTTCTTATTATAGTATCACCCTGCAATTCGTCTCCTTGCTTGAATTCCGGGGTATGCAGGAACAATGGCGATAGTTACACTTGCAGATGTACTTCTGGGTACACAGGAGCAAGATGCGAGACGGAAAGACGTAATTATAAGTTAAATTCAATTGAACTTTCAATTTATAAAGTTAATGTTCTGATAAGCACCCTGTTAAGCAAAGCCAATGAAAATGTCCTGGGAAAGGGTTTGATCTAATCCTAGAAAGATTGTTGGATTTTCGTATGAATGGTGTTTCCCCCGTGATGGCAAAATCTAGTCTCTAAGTCTAAGGCATTCTGACATATGTATGGTGAGCGGTGGCTCTGGGAACCACTATATATCGAACATTATAGTCTGTATTTTAATGTTCAAATATATAGGAAGCGTTGCTGTATGTACTCGGAACTTACATTCGAAGTGTGAGACGTGGAAACGCCACTGCTTAGTATATAATGGAAATAGATATTACTCGTTTATGAAAAAGAATTGCTGTAAAACCTGCAAAGAACGTGAGTATAGTAGCCTACATACCTGCGGAGTTCACTGATTTTATCATGATTGGAATTCATTATAATATAGTAGCGGCATAATGATATCTTCAGGAGCGGGAGCGGAAGGGGGAGGGGTGGAAACGAGGTAGTTTCTCCGGCCGGGGGCATAGACTAAAGGAGATCTGGGCTCACATACTTGTTCAATGCACAGGAATGTTACAGGAAGCAAACTTACAATTTCATTCAGAACTAATCCCGATAGGACGGACAGTGAGGAACCATATGCAATTATATATTAAATATAACTATACTGAGATAGTTACTGTCGCCTACAAGCTCGCATTCAGTCACAGTAAGTACAATATCCGTTACTTGTATTTCATTAAATGCTTTATGCTTTCATTCATTCAATACGATGATTCACTGGAAATTTTTTTAGATGCATACTATGAAAATGGCAATTATTATATGGATATTGTATACTTCCATATACTATATCTATAGTTCCATATTATTTCCAACTATAGCATCCATACTATGTCCATAACATGGATTTTGAAAAAAATTTCGAGTGATTCGCGTTCAGGTTTTATTCTTTAAGATATTGTCACAGTACTGAGCTTAAAATATTGTCATGCATGCACGTGACCGGGACGAAAATGATATACCCCCGGTCCCCGGAGTAACGTAGTTGCATGAGGAGCTTAGCGTGTTCTAATAAAGTTTTACATATAGTATTTAGTAATCACTGGTACAGTGCAAATATATTGGAATAATGAATTACATGACTATAATATAGACTGAGCAACTAGTAAAACTTTTTTTTCATTATTTAGATTGCTATAATGACAAAAACGAACATTGCAAACGGTGGAGTGAAAACCGCTTTTGCCAGCTTCAGCAGTTCAAGACATACATGCAAAACAACTGCCCCCTTTCATGTGGATACAGATGTTAGACTGCATGATCCCGCTAATTGTCGAACATGTCTGTGTTTTTAACACTTTATCATAAGATGATACTGCATGTATAGGCGTTTTTAGGCTTTGATTCTATACCTTCATTTAATCACGAAATATATATATATATATATATATATATATATATATATATATATATATATATATATATATATACATCAGTGCAAGATATTAATAGAGCAATATATTCCGCATCGTTCGGGGGTGTTTTGTATTGTTTTGTATTGTTTGATACTATAGTGGTTTTTTACAGTGGCAGTATATACTGCAAGCAGTATTTATGAATAACGTTAAGAATTCAAGCAATTTCATTGGTCGAGAGCCAAGATCTATAAGAGGGCAGACGCACGGAATAACCTTACAGTCAGATAACTTTAACGAATTTAATCAGTAATATATTGTTTTATTTTGTCAGCCAATCACATTTTATCACGTGTCTTAAGCTAGCCAATAGCATTTCTTTAATCTTATAGATCATGTACGCGTGATATCTGCAAAATTTCTACTTCGACAATTTTCCAAGTGTTGGGGGAAACTATTTGCCTGTTTAATTTCGTAATTTTTTCGATTTTATTATATATAAAACAAATACATGACATTGAACAGTTGTACCCAATTAGGTGCTTTCCTCACTAAGTTAAATGATTTGACGAACATTTATTTCCCTTAATTGTGTATTTTCTCTTGTTAGAGCCAAAAATCTCTGGTCGTCGAAAAGCATTAGTTACAACGAATCGTTAAATTTTTCCTGTTATGACTGTGTCTAACGATTAACAATATGTTTGACCTCATAGAAATAGAAAAAAAATGTCAAACATTGCAGTGATGCTTTGCATCATGATCGTGTGTAATTAAAGGGAGGTTTTAATTGACGTTATTGATCACTATACATTAATGCATGAGCCCTGGGGCGACTGTGCCGACTGTTTATATCGCCTATGTTGGTTATAATTATAGTGAGTCGTGTGCAAGGTGCGAAAGTGAAAAGAAACGACAGCGTAGATTTCACATCAGTTGAAAAATGCACGGAGAGATCAAGGATCAATGTATGGTTGATATCTCGCCTGAAAACCCCGAGAATGAGTGCAAAGACAATGAGATGAGTGTAAACATAAGTAGATACGGTCAAAGAGGTTAATAGTCGTATGCTTATTATTATGTGGTGGTTAATGATGCATGCGTATGTGTAATTATTTAAAGTTACCAAATGATGGTTTGTAATCCAGGGCAGGGGGAAATTATACTGTCAACTGTGAATATTCTTATCGATAAGGAACAGTTACTCCAAACGTGGAAAGGGCTAAGTAAGGAGGAAATAATACTGTAAACACTGTATATTATATCGGAGATATATATGTGACTGCATGGGACCCGCGTAATTTAAGGATTACACGAGGGAGCTAGTATCAACAAAACACACCTCGTAAATCCCTGGAAAATATTTTAAACTATTCTTTATTCCGTATACTCTTCAATTCAAGATTGAGGACCTAAAAGATATTGAATAACATGATTCTCTGGCCTTATTTCTCGTTCTTTTTTATATATATATATATATATATACGTAATGTCGTAATCTTCATTCTTCATGCACCCTAAGTTTCTTTTGGTTTTTCTACGTCGCGGGACGTGCTAAACCTGGCTAAAAATTATCACGTTTCATTTAATTAAATTTGAAGGATTTTTCTATTCAACCTACGGCTTATTTAAAACACTTATGAAGAGCTTACAAAGAATTATATTCGAACTTTGTGAGGATATATATGTATCAAACCCAGTGAACTGAAATAAAACTGGAACGCTCATTCTCTGACTTTTCCTCATTAATCAGTGAATCCAAGATGGCGGATCATGGAGCCTCTCCAGTGTCTCCAGTGAGCCCAGTGAACTGTAATAAATAACTGGAACGATACCTCCTCATTGTTTTCGTGAAACCAAAATTTGCGGGACTTTACCTTCAGACACGCGTGTCTGGAGGTAAAGTCTCGCAAATTATTGGCTTCATTCGCGGGTGATCGCGAGTCATCACTGCAGATGCAGAGCGAATTTGAAAGAAATTTATAGTTATATTCATTTCACTGAGTGAGCCTCTCTTGTAGGTATGATCCAGGCCTCTGGTGCGGAAATTTCAAAGGTAAAATCATGATTGCCGCCATTTTACCTACCAAATTTCCACGCGAAGGCCTGGATCATACCTACACAAGAAAGGCTTCAGTGTCCGTCATCTTGGCTTCAAACGTCCGACAGAGTGAGCGTTCCAGTCTTATTTGAGTTCACTGCATTAATCTGGACAATTTTGCACTTTTATTTACTCTCCAAACCATGCATGAATGTATATATTCTATTAACCGTGCTTTATTCCAAATCGTTCCATATCTTGACTGTTTTTTTCCAAAAATTTTCTTTTTCAGCATAATTCGCTCTCTTATGTGCTAATATTTTCTACTGCGACTCAACCATACGCAAGTATCCCTATGCACTTTTGTTGTTTTCCAGTAAATTTAAGAAAAAAAGTGAAAAAGACAAAAGAAATAAGTTGAACAAGTACATCAACGAACTAGATAACTTGCTTCCAAGCTCCTCGACGCAATCTAAAAGACTGGATAAGGTTACCATACTAACTACAGTTGTTAATTTCATGAGGAGTTGAAATGGTATGTTATCCAAAAAGGGTTTTTCTTCATCATATTTTAACGTGGGACGGTGGGGTTGTCATGTTTCATTTTGTTATTATTATTATATCCTTAGTATTTAGTAAAAACTGTTTTCCCCTAAATATGCAATTGTAGTTTTAGATTTAGTTTTAGATTTACCTACATAGCTATATACCATGCAAGCATAAAAGTAATTATTACGCCCCTGATTAAATCATATTTTATCGGAAGATTTTATTGATGAAAATTCTAAAGTTTTAAATGAAACGTGTTCTGCTGACCTGGCAAACCCTATTCAACCAAGTTCCAGATGGTATATCAGTAATTGGTTAAGAACTTGCACAGAGTTCACTTCAAGACAAACTATGCATGGAAAGTTTCTATTTTTGGATCCTGGGTAAGACACATCTAGTTTCACATTCATTGAAAGTATCATTTTACGATGCTATATTGAAACTATACAAACAAACAGCTATCACGTACACGCGTATCTTTCTAGATGTGTTTCTGTTGTTGGTTACCTTCCACACGAGATGATTGGAACGATGATGTATGAATACATTCACGTCGATGATTTTGAAAATATCTACAACAGCTTTGAAAAGTGTACGATAATTTGATTTAAAATTTTAGATTCTGCTTAGTCTAGATTATTAGGCCATGCAGTTATTTGGTTTTGCATGATTTAGTTAATTATGTAAGTCCTAAGTTAAGTTACTGGGTAGTGACAAAGAGGATCTAACTGGAAATGCATGCGAGAGTTGTAGGAAGGATCTGATATCCTCTTTGTGGCTAGAAACACCAAACTACTGCAGATTTTGTGTGTTGCTTACTATTGCATGCATGTTCTCCAATTCGCAGTGTTAGAAGATGGTGAATGTGAAACTAAACCCTATCGTATCCTCACTAAAGGATGCCAGTGGATATTAATCAAAACGACAAGTTCTATTTCCTACAATCAATGGAATTATAAACCAGAGTTTGTCCGTAGCACTTATTCTTTTGTAGTCACATTTAAGACCTTGAAAAAATTCGTATTTATAACAATGGCAGTCTAATCTATTTTTGATAGACAGTTTAGCCAAGTTCGCCGGCTCCGTGCGCCATGATGGGATTGTCCCTCCTATTATACATCTACTGCTATATGGATATATATCAAATTTACTTTTTTTCCTCGTTGTACTTACTTTTTCAATGATATCATTTTCTTAGAGAGAACGCCCAATGAACGAAATATTACGGATGATCATGATCATTACCCAACCAATGACTTTCAACAGAGTATGAAGAAGTATGAAACATTCTGCTCTAATGCTATGAATTATAATAAATAAACGATGGCTTTAGGTTAAATATGCGTAATCTTATAAAAAGATTACCTTTGGGATGGTCTTACATAGGGATTATATAAAAAGTATTAGAGGGTGTGTATTAATTAAAACGCAGTGATTCGTGATGCGCAAACTAGCGTTATTTTTACCTGTCCACACGTTCCAAAGTTTCCGCTCTAGAGAGTGTTTTCAAAAGTTTGCGGAAAAAAATTAGGTATGGCTTCACTAAACGCAAGTCAATACGTTCAAGGCCTAATTTTACTTTGACCTAATTTATTATCACCTGCCATTATTACGTATTACCTATTAGACGGATTCAGCACGGAGAACGTGAACGTACGTCAAAGACCACATGAGAACGTCAAATAAATTTCCTGGCACGTCCATATATGGGCACATCGCGCTATTTATTTGCCGTACAGGTCATCTTTCGACGTTGCCGTCCTCAAGCTAAGGGCTGTTTTCCACATGCGCGTATTTCATACGTGCGACACGCACGTAAAAGTCTTAATCCTTTTACATGTTATCTTAGAAAAAAGTACAAAATCGACTTAATGACTTCAGGCTGGCCGCCACACGCACTCGAGATCGCACGTACGGCTTGTTTGTTGACGGCCGCTTCGAAAGTACACCACAGTTTTCCGCATATATTTGTATGCATTTGTTAACCGAGATGTTAAATAATAAAAATTTAAAAGCATTCAAAATTTTCTGTACGAGTACGTTTGTAAGAAAAACGTGTAAGCGGAAAGCAACTCTAACTTTGCCTATTATTTTAATTGCACCGGACACTAGTGGCTCAGTTTTGTTGGCGTGGCATCAAAAAAACTTACGCAATCGAAGCAAATGCGAGTGCAAGAGAGTGCCGGTCCTTCAAAGAGCTTGGAAGCTAATTTTTAAGGAGCTCAAAGAGGAAAATAAAATAATTCAGGTTTTATACCGTAGCTTCTCAACAAAAGTCGAGATAAACTGTTTGTTGACTGTAAATATAAATAATTTAGCTGTGTAATTTTATCATTTTTCTTTATGAATTTGGATTAATCATTATACAAAGCCAGGCACACATGACGCGATTTTTGTCGTACGATTCTTTAAGCTTCGTTTTAAACCTGTGACTTATTCACATGTCTCAGTGAGTCCGTGACACGGTGGCGGGTGCAACTATTGTTGCTTCATGTTGTCACCAGAGGTCTCGCTCAAACCTGATTTTCACTATAGCATAGCAGAGATCAAACACTCTGACTAGAATATATACAAAAAACAAAGCAGGAAATATGTATAATTCTTTTGAATTTTTTTGTCTCGTCGATGCTTGTGTCGCACGGTGATAACTGATTGGCTTATTTCAGAGTTTTGTTTTTCATCTTTCCCTAAAGCTGGATTTCCTCTTACAGAGAAATAGGGCGCTTTCCTTTATACGGAAAAAACGGCCTGACCGCGCCCCGCGGTCCTGTTGTATTTCGGTACGGACAGATTTATTTACTGGTATTTTTGAGTGTTTCAAGAACTCTGCATTCAAGCATATCGTTATTTACATCTGCCTAGTACGGGAAATCCAGTTTCCCCGCTATATTCTTAACGAAGTACTCTATTTCAATTTAAAATGCGACCGTCTAACCATTTTGGCCGCTTAATGGAAAGCGCCCGCACATAGTTCGCTTGCGAAATATTTGCATATTTTCTTTAGAATTTTAACAGCATACTAAATAAATTCTTTCAAAATGACTGCTCTCATTCCAAAGAAAATATGCAAATATTTCGCTCTCTAAGTGGAAATCCACCCTAATACTTATGCTTATGGCGCAAGGGAAAACCAGGCAATGATAATTTTGATTGCTTTGAATGTCTATTGTGACAGTTCACCCCAAGTGGATCCACAAATGATGACTGACTTACGGAAAGGAAGACCAGGAAAAGCCATACTGCCATACTCATAAGCATAGGCTCCGGCGCTGGAGCTGCACGCGTGCGCTGGGAATGCATCATGATTCCGCGTTTTATAACGCGCCAGTAAACAGGTATTGCATGTTTCAAAACGTTTCACGGCGTCAGCGACGGAGTTCTTCGCCTCGGTTTTGTTGTTTTTTTTTCTTTTTTATTTATTATTAGTTTTCGTCGTCGCAAGTGTGTAATGGCGCGAAATATACTAGTATTTGAAATGTGTATGTGATCGTATTTATCTACGTCCTAGTCTTGTCTTCCAAGAGTTGCGATGCACAGTTTTGGCTAATTTTCCGATGCGCGATTCGATTTCGCTCGCATGATACGGCAATTCCTCCAAGAGGAACAAATAAAAAGTTCTTTTCATGCTATTCGATTAAGTTTATATTGAATTGGGGTAAGAATATATTTAATACATGTAGATTCTGGTCCTATTTTAATAATATCGCTGCTATTTCGCCGTTTAACAAGATGTAGTCGTGTATGGGCGCGTTGACACGTTGTAGTTTGCACGGGAATGACAAGATTGAAGATTTAATATAACTATATAAGCGCAAATTACAAAGGTAAAGTGTAAGCAAAGCGAATGTATCGTGCGGTTTTCAGAAGCAACATAAATTAATTTCTGGAAGCAAAATTTGGAATCTATGGACGCCATGGTAGTCAAAGCGATCGCGCGACATTTTGCACTGAATGGAAATCTTTATCAGTTCTGAAGGCCTTGACAGATTATTCTAACATTAACATCTGTTTATACCTGTTCCACCAGTAGTTTCAGTTTCTTGAGTTTCTTCCGATTTCATTAGTTTAGCCACATTCCATTGCACTGTTTCTATAGAAACAGTGCAATGGAGTGTGGCTAAACTAACTCTATTCACTTTTCTGAGTTCTGTCTCTGTGGTTCTGTCCATTAGTGTAGTACTTCATCTTGTAAAAATATTGTGTATTCTAAAGTTACTGACGTGAACCAACTGCTGTGAACTATAAGTTTGTGGCAGAATTGGACTTCAGAGTCTTGTAGTTTTCCTCACGAGAATGAGGGTTCTCGGAACGAGAGTAAATACGCAAAATGTAACTGAATTTTTAAAATTACACAGAATGTAGTTATGAGTTTTAACAAGTATACTGTAGTATGCCTTCCAAAAAAGTTTACTGACCCAGTTGATGCAGCAATAACCACGGCAACTAACAAACACACAGCAATAAGACGTTTGACTGTTTGTTTATTCAAAAGTGGTCTAGATTCTAGCCGCAAGACATTGAGGGTCTTTGTCTGGAAAATGCTGAGAGAAAAAGCTCATCAGTAACGTCACGAGTCAGACTAAAAACAAAAAAGTCTTGAAATGAATGAATAAACATTTCATAGTTGGAAGAATAAAAGATTATGTTTACCAGAAAATGAGTTTCTGCGTTTCTCCGCTATAACAAAACTATATGGACCCTACTCCCTATCAGACCCTATCATTGGGTGTCAATTGAGGGGGGCCGTATTCATATATTCTGCTATGCCTGGCTAATTATTTTTGAAAACAATTTCACTTTCAATAGAAATCAGCCTGGCATAACAGAATATATATATGAGTATGGCCCCCCTCAATTAAAATGTTCGATTGAAGCCTATGCTAGGAGCACAGCAAAACTTAAAGGTTTATTTTTTTGCCGAATTTCAGTTCACTTGAAGTCTCATCATCTTGAAACCATCTATGCGTTCTTATATCTTGTGATTTTTCAGTAAAATAAACCTAAAATCAGCAACAATTTCATGTTTAGTAGACAGTAGCGTAGCCAGCCTGACGATTTGTCCCGCTATGCTAATATTTGGTGTTCACTGACTGTGAAAACAATAGATTTCTAAAGGCACGAATAATTATAATAACTCGAAATTTACATAGCGGGACAAAATCGTCAGGCTGGCTACGCCACTGTTAGTAGAAGTTAACTTATTATTATAAATTTATAAGCCAAGAATAATCGAGTTAGATGTATGCTGTTAAAAATGAATCGTACTCAATATGACAGTTGTAGCTATATGCAGATATTCCAGGTAATAATGGCATATGTGTAAAGGATTGTCTAATCATATAAGAATTGGTTCACAGCCGTATTTCTTTCCATGCTACTCTATCATTCCACTTATTCACAGTGGCGTAGCCAGCCTAACGATTTTGTCCCGCTTGTAAATTTCGATTAATTTATTTCTTTAGAAATTTATTGTTTTTACAGTCAGTGAACACTAAGATATTAGCATAGCGAGACAAATCGTAAGGCTGGCTACGCTACTGCTTATTCAGTTCTGGCATACAGACTGAAAGTCTGAACAACCGAGATATAATACCTGTTGATCTTGTTCTTCTGGTTCCATTTTTGTCTTCCTGAACTGTGCCTAAGGATCTTTTGCCAGGTGGCTTCTCACTCCAAATCTAACGAAACTATGAAGAAAATATATACAGTGAGGAACTAGTATAACTTGCCGACTTGGTATAACTTACTTTTAAATAACGAATAACGTGACACAGATGATCATAGCATCATACTAATTCAACTGATTGGTATTAACTGAATTTTCACAGTGCCCTTCTCAACCACGAGTACGAAACTAATTTAACTATATTTCATGCAAATCTTAACTAATGTTATAGTTAATAAATAATATTGAAAGTTTCGACTTATACAAACGTAGGCTACATTTGCAGCCGCTGCTGAAAATCGGAAACCCCATTTGCTAGGAAAGGGCACTGTTCGCAGAGTGCTACCTACACTGTCTGGATATCGCCAAGTGTTAGATAAATTTGGATGAGGTTTATTTTTTCTGTGCCTTGAACATGGCAACATTAATCCTTTTCCCATCGGCTCTTTATCTCGGAACTCTTGTTGGTAAGTTGTCTTCAGTGATGAATAATTTATTGGTGCGAATCTTGCTGTTGCCTGCCTGCATAAAATGACATGATTATTACTATTTCTACTTGTTATTCCACCATTTCTACGTTATAATTTATATTATTATACATTATAGTAGTAAAAGCAATTTGATTGGCTAATAGTTGACAGATAAATCGCGCAATCACGCAAAATTCAGTTATCTGCTAGCAGATAACTGAGCCGTTATTTGCAAGTGCATGCGGTGGTTAACAAGCGGTATTCATTTGAATGTATTTATGTATTAATTGATTGATGTATTTTTGGATATTGCTATTTGCTATTAAACAAGGTTTTTCATTCGTTAATACTATGTTTACTATTCTTCTAATGTATAATAAAACAATTATTGAATTCGGTTTTTGTGATATGCAGAGTTATCAAGGTCTCGGTAGGCATAATCAGCCTCGCCTTCGGTTCCCCAGCGGACCATAGGAATGGCGGGCCAAGCCTTACGGGCCTACCGGCTACCACAATTTTATTTATATTGGTTAATAAACAAAGAAATATAATTATTCAAAATACGCACATTTATACATATAATACAGGGTGTACAAAAGACCTTCAACAGCTTTTGCATGATTACAAGGCCGGTATACCACCATAAAACTTTTTACTATTACTGAAGAATAAAATTGTAGTGAAATTCATAGTCATAACATTTATCGGCCCGATTCCATTGCGACCAATTGTCATTCGTATGTACATTAACTGTTTCGAGTCGTTGGAGGTTAGTCGGTCGTCAGTTCATAAAGCCGGTGTAGAACGACTTAACGTCAGTTCATAAGTGTAGAAAGCCTGGAAGAGTGAAGATCGATTTTGCTTGTGCGCTAATTTGGCAAAGCTGGTGTAATGATGACGAAGGTATGCCAATCTTTCGAGATGCCTGATCTGCCACAAGGTGGCTGTGAGCATGATGTGTCATCATTGATAACACCTTCTTCCTGTCTCAACATCCTGCATCGGAAAAAGTATTGTTTTCCCGCTTTTTATAAAGCCTAGGATATCACGCTATCTTATCATTCAGTTATCACATCCAGCAGTGTTTCGACGTGAGAGCCAGAAGACTGCTTGACTAACGCTGCAAAGATCGATCGACGACCATGATTTCATTAGCTATTTTATCGATTTTACTTTCCATCAATTACTGTGCAGGTAATCACCTTCTTGTGTAGATTTATTATTAATTCGTTTCCGCAAAATAACGCAATAAAATTTATCCTATCCTATATATATATATAAAGGAAATGTTGATTAGTCCAAAGGGATTTATCGTTTAAATAGAAAAATTGACAAGTACCCGCAAATAGACGGTAAATAGTGAAATAAATATTTGAAACTGCATTCATGACTCGATGGAATCCGAATCTTTAGCAGATTTTGAAGGATATGTATCTGCATGCAGAAGTTAATTTCAATCGAAATTTGAATCTTCTTATGGATCTATTGTTTTTTAGTATACACCCGACTATTGTCTATTACAAATCCTACATTCTGATTGGCTACTCAACCATTGTCTATTCGTGATGGTGAACGTTTGGAAAAAATTCACTCGCGCGACCGTATAAAATTGAATTAAAATTAAATTATTTTTCGATGTAATTGCGGTGTATCGATTATTTTCTCGAAATTAATATATCTAGGTACAGGGTGTACTAAAACAATTAGACAACTCGCCTTCGTTGTCTAATTATTAAATATTCGCTGAAATTATCAACTGGAAACAGTTTCCTTATCTTATACAGAGTGGCATTGTATTTATTTTACGTAAACCAGGGTTCAAAACGGTTCCATCTATGGTTCCAGTTTAGTTTGTGACGCCACAGTTTATAAGCTATGTGTAGTTGTTGATTAAATAGTGATATAATGCAGGTACATACCTATGTAGGTACTGCAGGTACTGTGGAAATACTTGCTTGCGCACTAACAAACTACATTCTCAGAAGAAGATAAATGTAAATGGCAATAATCGCGCGGGTGAACACAAATTTTACTGATTGGGATGAACTTGAAATTTCGTTAATGTACAATGTACTATGGTGTTCCGGTACAGCGACTCTGATGCAGTGTGACCAGGTTTTCTGAAGGGCAATTACCAAATTAGGTGACAGAAATTACTATATAAGGCAAAAAGTTACTACGCACACATTTATCCCGAATTAACATTGGTAATTCCAAATCTTTTTCCAAAATATCCCTACTTCACCCTAACAGAAAAGTATACTATGAATTATTGTTTTGCTGTGGAAATAACCTAGGACTCAAGACAAACAGGGACCGCTTGTACGAAAACTGGATTGGCCTATCCACCTGATAGGGATTTTTTCAACCTTATAAGAATACTTGAAAAGTAATAAAGCTTTCTGTAATTTTAAGAAAAATTACTGTAGTAATTACTACAAATTTCCAATTACTACAATCATCCGAAAAATTACCAAAAATTTTAAACAGTAATTAAAATTACTACTTCTGGTCACACTGTTCTGATGGGAACAACTTTGGTTGCCCTGTTGAGTGATGACTAACGTTAACAATTGTAGGAAATTGTGTCAATCAGACGTACGTAATTTGCACATAATGCGCGCTGATTAGTAATGACATTAATCTGGCTATGCCTTGAGGTTGAACGATGAATGAGTTTACCGCATTGTGCGGCCTATTCTAAGAAATTTTATATACACTTGAACGTAAAATTGAATTAAATAGATTTAAATTTTGCAAGATTTGATGATTTGATAGGCAACAAATTTCATTTCCACCCGTGACATCTGTTTTTCTCAAACATCTAGACGAGATTTATGTAACTGAAAAAGCATATATGATACTAAGATATATGATACTTGCTCTGAATCATATTTGGGGATCTCAGACTTGATAAGCCGTAGAGGAGAAATATTTTCCAGGGGCTTCCTTTACCCTCAGTCTTTGCTCTCAATCCTTATTTTACCTGTGGTGCCAATGTTGGATCAATAAGAGATCATCTTTACTGGGCTCCAAGGAAGAACAGTGATTGTCAGTGAAGCTTTTTCGCTTCGATTCGATTGTCCCAGTGTAATTTTTGAGGTGGTAATTCCAGTGCAAAATAGTAAATACGTATACTGATCATCAATACAATTTGCAATAGATATGTTAGAAACCTTTCTTGAAAGTCAATGTAACGCAATGTTTATTAAAATTTTTGGTTGTTTGTCTTGTAAGAAAATAGCAACCCGCCGCCCACATATGTTATACACTGTATTGTTGCACGTAAGCTAACCTTGATGTCTTTCACGTCGTCGTAAAGGTCGCGGATGCCGTAGTATTGTGCCACGAGGAGACTTTCAGTGAGGATATATACCATGCGCGGTAGATCATATTAATTAACGAAATTCTTTTCCACATTTCAGCTCAAAACGCAAATGCCAACAGTACCCAAAGCATTGGAGATGATCAAGCAAACTGGCAGGCATTGTGGACCGCGATGTCAACCATGAGGGATGGCAGATCTCATGTCGCTGACAGTACTCGATTATCCTTGTTTGATATAATACTGAGGGCCAATGTTGAGGCAAGGCGTAAGTGTGATTAAGACGGACAATGAACGTATATTCCTCTTCCATGGAAACACCGCACCGCACTTTACACGGTTGGGTTATTGGCTAATAGGGCAAAATTGACTCATGCACAAAACATTCTTGTGTATCATTATTATTAAAGATGACTTAAGCTATTTTCAATTCTCTAGGCCAAACACAGGTACGAAGCGGTGAAGCGGAGTTTCTTTATCAAGGTGATATTGCGATGAATAAGCGTGATGTCGTGGACATAGTTAATGGTGGTGGAGCGGGAAGACGGAAACGAGCTGTGATGAAAAAGCTTGCTACAAGATTGTGGCAGCCTAAAAAGATAGCTTACGTAATAAGCAGTGACTTGGGAAGTAAGTGTAACAGTGTCTGATGATTTGTTAACACATTTGAGGAGTGACAGTAGCCGATAATCGATAATGATCAAGATCCTTGTGACTGATACCTTTCAAGGAACCAAGTTCTCATATTTTTGTCACCATTATATAATGACAGTTAAAGTATAATAGCCTAATTGCGCAAGCTTATTGTTTCCAGAGTTTGCAAAACTAGCGATTCTCGCAGCAATTAAGCACTGGGAAGATACGTTACCATGCATGGGAAAGTGGAGGGACATAAACAATCTGGATAGTTCAAAAAGACCACGGAACTACATTCGTTTCATCAAAGGAGAGGGGTAGGCGTTGTTGCATTATGTCATATTCATCCAGAATCATATTCATCCAAATTATATACTATAGTCCCATGCTTGTCGTGCGAAAGAAGACTGAATGAAAAAGGGTCCTGAAACGTTTCTGTGCGACATCTGAAAAAAGGCTATTCAGCCGACAAAGATATACTCAAAACTATATATACCTCTTGTGTAGATAAACTAAAACTTTTCCACATGCCTGTCCTACAAAGAAAAACTTTAATATCTATTTCATCTCAGGATGTGCCCTGATCATCTACCAGGATCTTTCCTCCAAAAAGAGTGAAAGCCTGGAATCGAGTTTAAGTTGGTGAAAACTGACGGTGACATGTATGTCACGATTGAGGCTTATATAATATTTGTATTTTTTGTATTTGTATTTGTATTTAATAAAATTACTTTGCAGCCTAAAGGCTGAATTACGTAATTTTTACAGTTAAAACTATTGTATCATATTCATAATATAAGAATTATAACCAACGTTTTCTCTGCAGTTGTTATTCAAGAGTGGGTCGTCAAAGAGGTCGCCAGTTGATATCAATTGGAACTGGATGCGGTTACGTTGGTGTTGTGACACACGAAATCGGTGAGTTATAATCCAACCAAGTTTGCGTGGGAAAATATTAAACTCTCTTCAGGGTATGTTGTATAATGTGTTGCACACTGCTAGAAACCAGGCCCGATTAATTTAAAAACAGTTTTTTTCTTGTCGAAACACTTGTGTATATAATCGTAGGTCACGCAATGGGTTTCTGGCACGAACAGTCTCGCACTGACAGGGACGAATACATAAACATTCACTGGAATAATATTCTACCAGGTATGAATCAAATTCCGTTCAAATTTCGTAGATCCAGTAGGGCTGATAGAAAATATTCATCTGTCTAGTCCCGTAGCCGACAAGCTCAAAATCACGATTATTGGTGTACTTGTACCAACAACTCTAACACAGCAATTTTTTTATAATAGCTATGAGATTTAACTTTGAAAAATACACATCATCAAGAATTGATGATCTTGGTGTCGAATATGATTATGAAAGCGTGATGCATTATGGGCCAAAAGCTTTCTCTAAAGACGGAAGATCATCCACAATTTCAATCAAGCGCAATAAGAATAAGAATGGCGTAAGATTGGGGCAGAGATATAGATTGAGCGAACTGGATAAAAAACAAGCTCGACTTCTATACAATTGTAACGGTGAGTTCACGGTGAAGGTTGAGCCGTAAAACAAATAACCAGAAATTGTTCGATACAATGAATCCAACCGGGGAAAAAAGTACAAGTGATAAAAATAATATAATTTACTTCTTTGAAGAATCCAATTCCATTTGTTAGAATGTTGATCACTTTCTGAATGATCAAGTATCCTTGCATGATGTTCCTAGAAAGTGGTGTCAGTAATTTGTGATTGCGCATAGAAATAGAAAAAAGTCATACATTGCAGTGATGTAAGTGGGGAATGTGCAAATAGATCCCTTATAGGTATGGTACCTATAATCCCCCTTAATAGATGTTGGTTGAACACTAATTATGATGTCTGAATGATATAATTATATAATACCTCAGTTCTCCGATTTCATTTCTTATTTTTTTCTAGTCAAGTCTCCTCCATGTAGTTCTAATCCGTGTTTGAATGCTGGGGTATGTAGCAACAATGGGGATAGATACACTTGCAGATGTACGTCTGGATACACTGGAGTAAGGTGTGAAAATAGGGAAGGTAAACCTCTTAGCACTCTTTTACGCATGTATATGGTCTAAATAAGATGAAATAACTTCCATTGCTTTCCCACGAGGTCTTTTGCGAACTCGTGATTACGTGATTTACATTCAGCCTTTTAAAATACCGACTTTGCGGTAATAGACCCTGGGTACCAGGTTGCATTGCCATTGGAGTTCTCTATAGGTCGCATCAAATGCAACCATAATTTATACAATATTCATTTAGAAATATGGAATAGTGTTGTTATAAAGCGTTGTTATGATGTGCAAATACGACTTTCTCGAGTTATGGTTCTATAAAAAGTATAGCGTAAATTTGTTTGCGAATTATGCATTTTTTATTTTTAATACGGATGCCAACAGCCCTAAAATATTTCAATTCATATCGTCTTTTCAGTTAAGCCTTGCAGTTCATCACCATGTTTGAACAGAGGTACCTGCACGAACATTGGGAATAGATATAGTTGTACATGTACAGTTAGGTACCCTTACGAAAAAAACACATGCGAAAACCACATGTGGAATCACATGTGACTCACATGTGAAATTGGAACCATTATATCACATGTGGTTCACATGTGGTGGTATCACATGTGGTTCACATGTGGTAGTATCACATGTGGTAGTATCACATGTGAGTCACATGTGGTTCAGTACATGTGGATCTGGAACAACCACATGTGGTTCACATGTTAGTCTGTTTTGACGTTCACATGTGGTTCACATGTGATCCACACAAACTACTGCATGACACCTTTAATTATCATTAAATCACTCAGACACAGTATTACCAGGTGAAGTAAATTAATGCACATATATTGAAAACCATATTACAAAATGAAGTGAAACATTTGACTATCTTAAAGAGTAAAAGATACATCTGTAAATATAAAAAAATGAATTATAATACTATAATTTATTTAGTCATCCTACTGTCCTTAATTGTTGCTAAGATCTTCCTGATTCTTTCTTCGGTTTTCCATTGACAGCCTAAATTCTTTGCACTCTTGTGTCATAACAGCTTTTAAATTTGTATTATTTGCTTGAGGAAATTTCATGATGACAAAAGCTGGAAAAAATATAAACAGGATTGTTAATTAATAGCAATTGCAGTTCATCGCAATAAATAATTTAAAGTCAAATATAATTTCATTGCCTACAAAATAAAACATTAAATGGAAAGTGAGAATGTTATCTACTGTATACAAAAACATTAACAAAATAACAATCCATTCTTCTGAGAAACTGCTGTTGTTCATGGTCAACAGTGAATAAGGTTGTGCAGACCTAGGGAATGGCTAAGGGAAGGAATGGCTGAGGCAAGAAAGAGGCTTGAATCTTAGGAAAAGATGGTGGAACTTTGATGGTGTACATATTTTCTTGGTTGCAGCAAGTGCTGCTAAAACTGCCTCTTTAAAGTCTTAAATCCATCTGGCCATGTTGCTCAGTTGGTAGTACCAATCTGATACTGTGAGGCTTTTAGACCCAGCCAAAACATACAAAATATTTGAAATATCATATGTAAAAATACATTAATTTCTTCTAAATTAGGTGTTTAGAAAAACAAAATTCTGCTATACTGTATACAGAATATTGCTACTGTTTATAAGACTCCAAAGGTTATTGAATTAAGTTAAGGTGCAAGGGGTATTCCCTAATTTAGACCATATTGTGTACCGGTATATATCAAATGGTAATATGTTTCAAACCTTTATATTCTTCTTTGGTTTCTTATTGTCAGCACTGGTCACATCTAATCGCCTCTTCTTGGCTTTATTATCATCACTGTTATTATCACTGTTATCCTCCAACTGCTCAATTCAAGCTAAGTTCATTAGGTAACTCATTCTTGCTATCTGTGAAAAAACACAAATACTCGCTTTAGAAAATTTATATATACACAAATATTTTATTGCTATACACAACTAAGTATGAGCGAGCGAGATGTGCACATGTTTGGAAGATAACATTCCACACGACTATATATCCCAGTCTCAGTTGGAAGGACATGTTGATCTAGAAAAAACTATAAACAATATATTTCTAGCGCATATAATTTCACTATGTTCTGCTTCTTTCTTTGCTAAAACATTATTACACCGCTATTGAGGATATTTCCCGGCTATCACTAGTGTGTATGAGCGAAGTATTTATACGAAGATGAATGATGATTGATAAAGTTGAATAAACAATCTTCTGATTACAATAATACAATTCGATGCGGACCTAGGTTAAATTATTATTTATATTATTATTTAAGTGTCACTGAGATGCTTACCACTTTCTGCCAAAACGTTTCAAAATACGATTTCCATGCCGTCTTTGGGGAATTCATCTTTGAGTATCCAAACAAAACCATGCGATCCTTCTCGGGATGTTTTAGCATGCACACTTTTGTCTTTAAATAATATATTCTTTCTTTAAGATGCTTGTCTTATTTGACTCAATCCAGTGAACCAGCACCTATTTCATTTCCAATCGTATTAGGAGAGTGACAAAGATTATCCTTTTATGTCTTTTATCAAATAAAATTGCAATCTCCTCGTAGAACAGCCAAGAATGTCGTTGTAAAAAATTTGAATTTTGAAACGAATGCGCAACCTCGTTCCCAGGGTTTTCGCCTAATGTGGCGTCACACTTGTCGGTCGTTGGGGTTATTACACCGGTCGGAGATTGGCCTCAGATTTATAAATATTAGGACGAATGTATTATTACAACGAGGCTGAGTTTACTATTCGCTCATAGCCAACGAGGCTGAGTTATCTTATTGTTTTATTGTAAACTATAGCATTTAATAAGCAGCAGAATTTTGATATAATTTAAATAACCCGGCATATATAGACAATCCAATGAATATCCACAAGACATCTTCTGGATTGTCTTAATCAGCAGTGTTTTGATGTAAATAACTTTATTTGTAGATTACCAAATATGTTAGATAGAGATTAATTGTAAATAAGAAGACAACTTAAATATACAGTGTTACTTAAAATGAGCAAAGCAGTAACTATTATTTAGATGATTATGCACGTGTATTTGGGGAATAGGTATGTGGTATATGTATGCATTCAAATTACAGAAGTTTGCTGATTCATTATTAGTTTGAAATACATTTTCATGTCAACCACATTTCGTTCACATAGGTTTATACATTTTCACATGTAAGCCTTGTGTGATCGCATATAAACCACATGTGATCACATATGAACCACTTGTTTGTAGAGACATTTCTCATGTGAACCACATGTGTATCTCATATAACCACATCTGCATCACATGTGGTTCACATGTGCCCTCATAGAACCACATGTTTTCACATGTGAACCTCATGTGTATCCAATATAACCACATGTACATCACATGTGGTTCACATGTACCCTCCATATAACCACATGTGAACTACATATAATCACATGTGATCACATGTGATCACATGTGATCACATGTGAAGCACATGTGATCACATGTGAAGCACATGTGGTTCACATGTACCCTCCATAAAACCACATGTGAACCACATATAATCACATGTGATCACATGTGAAGCACATGTGATCACATGTGAAGCACATGTGATCACATGTGAAACACATGTGAAACACATGTGGTTTGCATGTGTTTTTTTCGTAAGGGTACACTGGGACGCGATGTGAAAGAAGAGGTATAATATTCAAACTTCAAAACATATGTATATGTATAGATTTATCCTGAAAACTGATAACAGCAGTGTATACTATAAAAAACAGTCATGCATCGGACGTTTTTGCTCACTCTTCTGGGGGCGGTCTTCCACAAATGATTGGTCTCAAAGTCCTATAAGTCATAATTTCTCGATACCATACGCAAGACATTATACCTGCAGTACGTTTGAAGAGAGTACGTCAATTGTGATGAACACAGAATGATTTTGGAAGAGTTTAGACATATAAAAAGACATAGATGATATAGTATGAGTAGGAGAAATTCCAATGTATCTATGCCCTTCGTAGTCCGCTTGGAGCATGCAGAATACCTCCTGGAATACCTCCTGCATGATGTTACACTGTGTTCCAATTAAGATAATAAGATTCACCTTCTCATTATAGTATCACCCTGCAATTCGTCCCCTTGCCTGAATTCCGGGGTATGCAGGAACAATGGCGATAGTTACACTTGCAGATGTACTTCTGGGTACACAGGAGCAAGATGCGAGACGGAAAGACGTAAGTTAAATTCAATTGAACTTTCAATTTATAAAGTTAATGTTCTGATAAGCACCCTGTTAAGCAAAGCCAATGAAAATGTCCTGGGAAAGAGTTTGATCTAATCCTAGAAAGATTGTTGGATTTTCGTATGAATGGTGTTTCCTCCGTGATGGCAAAATCTAGTCCCTAAGTCTAAGGCATTCTGACATATATGCATGGTGAGCGGTGGCTCTGGGGACCACTATATCGAACATTATAGTCTGTATTTTAATGTTCATATATATATAGGAAGCGTTGCAGTATGTACTCGCAACTTACATTCGAAGTGTGAGACGTGGAAACGTCACTGCTTAGTATATAATGGAAATAGACATTACTTGTTTATGAAAAAGAATTGCTGTAAAACCTGCAAAGAACGTGAGTATAGTAGCCTACATACGTGCGGAGTTCCCTCATTTTATCATGATCGGAATTCATTATAATACTATACAGGGTGTATCAGAAAAAACTAGAAGATTTTAAAATGTCCAAAAAACTATAATTTTATCAAAATATCTCAAAAATATATTTACGTCCAAGTATTTTAGCATCTCCTGGCTTATCTCACGGCCAAAAATCCTCACTGTTGAGGGGTGGCCGTATTGGAAAATAATAATAATCTAACAGTAAAAGCTATCAGAAAAATTAACCTAAAAAAGCGGGAGAACGGTTTGTAAAAGCCTCATTTTTAACCGCTTGTGCAAAGAAAATGAGAGGTTCAAAATCCAAGTTCATTTAAAGAGATGAAAGTTTGGACTCTTTTGTGCAATGTATCAAAATTTCAGAAAATTTGATAAACATTAAGTCCGCCGTGAAACGTTTCAAAATTGGACTTTTTTCC